AATCGCTCTTTTGATTTTGGAAAAAAATTCTTTATCAATATACTGCTTCTTCTACACATTCCCCTCTACCCCATAATGTAGAGTAACTAATAGTTAGGACTTAGAAAAAAATCAATAACTCACTCATAAGAAAAGTCCTTCCCGCATCAAGCACTAATATAGTTTTAACGTCTAATTAGATCGGGTAATCATTCGAATTAAGAACATAAGCCCGTTACTTTTTATTTCTCTATAATTGGAGCATAGGGCTCTATCCATTTATTCATTCGACCCACCCCACTTGACTTGACTTTTTTTTTCCGCATCAAGAATTCAAACAAGGTTTGGCCTAATCTAGTAAGGTAAAAATATTACTAGAATTTTTCATTGATACGACATGCTGCTTTTTCCATTCATTCCTTTCAGGATCAGTCGCGGTCTTACAAACTCTACCGATAGTATGGACGAATCTGTTTCTTCATAGAAATGTGTAAAAGATGCTAGCCGCACTTAAAAGCCGAGTACTCTACCATTGAGTTAGCAACCCCAAAAATAGAAAAAATTTTTCTGTGTAGATACAATCGGAATCAAAATAACAAAAGAAATTAAATTGCACCACGTAATCAAAATATTCCAAATAAAAAAAACTTCTTATATCACACAAAAGTAACTTTTTGTATCACAGAAAATACAATGAGACCATCATGTGCGTGAAAAGCAAAGGTCCTGAAACGGAGATAACTAGCTTCATTTATACACGATCGGATTATATTTGTTTGATACACTGTTGTCAATATGAATGTGAATAGTGAAAACCGACTACAATGGAGAAAACAAAAGAATTATAAATGAATAAAAACCACATGGAAATAACAATTTGAATTGAATAAATATATTTATTTTTTTATTTAAATAGATAAAGATAACAAAATATAATAAGAGAAAATATTCTAATAAATTAGATTAAAATAAGAGAAAAGAATTCAAAAAACTACGGACTTGGATTGGCACTATAGAGATAATCAACATAGATAGACATAAAAGATGTAGGCGAAAGACAAAATTAAGGAAGAAGTAGAAAAAAATATATCGGGTTTATTCAATCCATAAATATAAATAACTAAAAAAACGGAATCCCCCCTTTTTTTTTTATTTGTTCATAGAATTGCAACAAAATAACCCCATCGATGCGGGAATGTACTAATTTTTATTTATAGTATATCCTATAGAACCAATTAGTTCATTTAGTCACTTGATTGATCTTTTTTCTATTCATCTTAGATCAATTTCTATCACTAAAAAAAAAAAAATATATATTTTTGTCGTTATCGAAGACGGAATTTTAAGGTAATAAGTGTAGTATGAATAGAACAAGAGAGGGGGGAAATAATAAAGAAAAGGTTAGCCAAATAAATGGATTATGATTGTACACTTTGCTCTTATTTTTTGGCAGTCTCGCGCTCATCCACGTGAAATTATGACCGAGGTTCTTAAAGCTCTACGTGAGCTCAATGTGGCTTGGAAGAAGATTGGGCACTACAATATGAAATGTAGGTGGTTGCCTGGAATTCCAGGCCATCATGAAGGCATGATCAACAGCCCTGTGCATAGTAATCATTACTTCGGGGACGAGTCTACCATCATTGAAAACGATGGCGTCGTTAAATCGCCTAATGTTATCAAGTTTGAAGTTCAGGTATTTTTCCTTCTATTGTGGCATTTGAAAGAAACCTCACCATTTTATCTCGTTGGTTGTGACTAGGACCTTTGACTAACATATTGCCTAAGCTTGATTTGTTCTCGAGTTGTTTCATAAGAGTCGTTGCGAGTTTCATGTTTAATATAGAAGATGATGTTCAGGGAAGATTACGTCGCTTTCTCGATAAATAATCTCAAGCTTTATGCTCACTCATTTTTGGTTGGATTTTGTTGTCATCAGCTCTACAAAACGCGGGAAGAGAAGTATTTGCTTGATCTACAGAGGGTTCAAGGCCCCCAGTTCCTTTTCCTGGATCTTTGTGCTGCGTTCCTTGCACAGCTCCGAGTGCTCTAAAAACACATAATTTTAACTCATGGGACGGTGAGCTTGTGAACCAAGATTTCACATGCATAACTTATCTATCATCTTACAGAATCTTAGTTCTTACCCTCCCAGTTTAGATGGATAGTAGCTCAGTCTTGTGTAAATCTGATTTTCGGTAGTAGAAGTTGTCAGATCTGGGCGTCCAATATTGATTGGTGATGCCCGTTACCTTCCCCTTCTTCATTCCAAAAAAAAAAAAAAAAAAATTCTATTTAACTTCTTATGTACTGCTGTAATTTAAAGACATTCTCTTGTTTCATATCTCTTTCACTGCAGTTGCTCTCAGCTGTCGGTGTTCTCTTCGTCGAGGTTCCCGAAATCCTTTCGTCTTTGGTACGTCTCACCAAAACTCTTAACTGGGTAGTTCTCTCCATCTTGTGACTGTTGAAATGACAAAAATCCTCTGTTGAATTTTGAGGAAAGACCCATGCATTGATTACATTTAGAACGATTATCCGAGTAAGATGCAATAACATATCACATATCGTATTTCGGGTAGAATATTAGTCTCATATTAATTGGTTGCGACATGCAAAGGTTCTTGCTCTCAAGTGCTATTGATCGAAAGATCTTCGTCAAATATAGAGGATTGTGGAGATGAATGAAAACTCAGAAAAATAGGGGTGATGAAGAAAGAGCACGAGTCACTGTTTCTAGATGCCAATATAGTAATTGATAGTTCATTCCTTGTTCTCGTTCTCGTTCTCGCTCAATTGCCCTCATTCCTTTTTGTGATGGGATTGCATTTTCATGACTTTCTACAAATGGGTAATCATTTTATTTCAGCATATAATACTTTATTTTGGCTAAGTTTGTGAAATTAGGGGTCAAAACAATGAACTTCGAGTGGAAAACTGTGTTCGTGGTATAAAATTTTGGTTTTTTTTTTTAAATTATGTTATATTATATTTTTGTTGGTGAACATTAAGTCAGATTTTTAATTATATTGTAAAATAAAATTTATGCATTAGAATTTTTATTTATTTATTTATTTATTGGAAAACATTTTAAAAAAATAAAAACATGATAAAAAAAATTACTTGGGAGCAACCGCTATGACATCGCATGAGCAAGTAGTTCTAAACTTTCAAATTTGTATTTAAAATCCTTGCAATTTAAAAAAGTGTATAATAGATTTTTAACTTCCAATTTTGTCTAATAAGTTTCTAATTTTGTTATTTTCATATTTAAATTTTTTCAACCATAAATAAGACTCGTTGAATTATTTTGTCGTCTCCTTTCTTGTTTGATATTCTTTCAAAGGTAAATTCAGTTATTGTTCGTTTATTCTTTTTCCTGTAAACAAGATTAGTGTTCTTAGTGTTCTTAGTTCTTTCTCCTCAAGTAAAGGCTCATATATTAATAATAGCTTTAATAGCTTAGGAACTTCACTCATTCACCTTAAACCAGATTGAACCTATTTATTCTTTTAATTTAAACTCAATCTCACGTTTAACTCTTCTAAATCACCCTTCTCTACGCAAAACACGCTTAGATCTATTTAAATGCACAATTAAACTTTATATCTAATAAAAATTTGATAATTACGTAATGAATTTAAAATTTAAACTACAAGTTACCTTGAGAATAACGTAATAAAAACTATGGCATCCAAAGTAAATATAAACTACAAATTACCTTGGTAATAACGTAATGAATTTAAAATTTAGAATAGGGTAATGGGCCTAACTGCAAGGCAAATGGACTTTTGCTTTTGGGCCATCAAATTTGTCGGCCCATTAAGATTCTTCAAGTTCCCACATCGGAAAAGTCAGCAAGTAGGACACGAGTTTGATGTATAAAGAGGTGTCTCGTAGCAACGTTTTAGTCACGGAGCCGGGCGGTGAGCACAGAGCGAACTATTCTTTCGCCTTTTACTAAAGAATACCGTGTGCACGCCGCATTCACCGGCATACGCCTATTTTTGGAGGAGTTTCTCGTAACTGAGAAATTCCAGCAACCGAGTTAAAAAGTAAGTTCGTTTGGCTTACAATGATAAATTATTGTGTTATTCGAGCCTTTATTCTCTTTGTAATCGATGTTTGTGTTTTTGGTTTATTTTTCCTAAAATTTTATATTCGGTCTAATTGGAAGTGAATGTTTTATGTCCTATTTATTTCGTTTTCCTTTCTGTTTCTTTGTGTATTTCAGAGTAATTTTCTTCTCGCATTTGTGGTTTCGATGATAGATTTTAACTTACACGTGGAACTAAACTTTGGATATTTACATATGTTTCTACATCGACCTACACGCTTTTGCGTCGATCTAAAATGTTTTTGCATCGATCTAGAAATTCAGTGTGGTGTAGTTACTTTGTTGGGTCAAAACGGTATTATAATACTTATTAGGCAAGTTCAACACTTATTAGGGCATTATAATCCTTACCGGGTAATTTCAATACTTATCAAGGCATTTTAACGCTTGTTGGGGCATAACAGCCAAATGTCGTGCTAGTCTGGAACTGTTAAAGTCCAGTTGATGTCCTATGATGTCATCTTAAGATGCAAAAAGTCATCGACTTTTGTTGCTCGCTTGCATATATTTATCAAGAATCGATCCGTGAGTCACTTTTAAATTCAGGACTTCTTGGATATTCATCCATTCAGGTACTGTTAAAACATGAATCCTCGATTTGTTCATGTCAACTTGGATATATTGATGAAGAATCGATTCTTTAAATTCAGGACTTCTTGGATATTCATCCATTCAGGTACTATTAAGACATGAATCCTCATTTATTCATGTCGAGTAATTCATACATATAATGTTGGAGCATAACCTTATATTTCAACCTCCAACTCAAGGCATGGGACCATGTACGTGACACCGTCCTCAAAAACACATTCCCTAAGAAAAAACACTCATCTTGTAACATTTGCTCACATCTTGATACACACACGTGCAATGAGGTAACTCACTTAAACCATGAAGCTAAGGGCAATGGAGAGTCAATATCATGCCTCTCCCGAGTCTATTCTAAGATACTTTTGGTTAGGTAGACATCACTTTAAATTTTCAATTATTTGTCTCTCAAATCTATTAAAAAAAAAAATCAAATAAATCATTAATTTATTATAACAAAATTGGAAAAATGAGGGACTTATTGAATGCATAATTGAAAGCGTGACTAATTAGATACTTATTATAATTTAAATCATTTATTAGAAACATTAAAAAAATTTCTATAAAATAAATTGTTGCAAGGATTAAAAAAAAATCTTTCAAATCAACACAAAATTCAAAAAGTGATTTTGATATAAATTATTAGTCACTAACTATGGCATCAAAAGAATAGGGTAATGGGCCTAACTGCAAGGCAAATGGACTTGCTTTTGGGCCATCAAATTTGTCGGCCCATTAAGATTCTTCAAGTTCCCACATCGGAGAAGTCAGCAAGTAGGATACGAGTTTGATGTATAAAGAGGTGTCTCGTAGCTATATTGAAGTCACGGAGCCGGGCGGTGAGCACAAAGCGAACTATTCTTTCGCCTTTTACTAAAGAATACCGTGTACCCGCCGTAGTCACCGGCATACGCCTATTTTTTAAGGAGTTTCTCTTTGTTGAGAAATTCCAACAATCCAGAGCAAAATTTTTGCCCTTCTGTTAATTCTTTTTAATCATTTTATGTGTCTTCTCGGCGTTTGTGCCTATAATTATCATTTTGACCTATTTGTTACTTTGTATTATAGACCATTGTAGCAGGACCTACTGAGGAGTTTATACATATTCTGTTGGTGCATAATCCTTCAACCTCGAAGGGACCGTGCCTCCAAACCCATTCCCTAAGAAAACCGAAATAACTAGTGACACTATCCCTCGACTTTCATGGTTTAAGTGAGGTACCTCTGGACGAGGTACCTCCTCCCGCGTGTGTGTATTAAGATGTGGGCGATCATTTTGATGAGGAGTTATACGCCGACGTGAAACGTTCGTTTAGTGTTCGATAGACGCTAAATTTGACGAGTTTCTATCTTTTATTTATACAAATTTCACAACAGAGTCACAATTTTTGAGTTTATGGTCTAGGGCCCAACCTAACCCTAATCAAGCTTGTCTTTGATAAATCACTGTCTCAATTATACTTGCTTACGCCTTAGCCCAATTTTGTTCACTACTCTTAATATGTTAGATGATGCATCATGTCACTTATCTTTCTTGATCCTCACTTGGCTCGATAGGCACCACTCTTGTATTGTCTTCTATTTGTATGCACGTGAGAGACACAACCTACTATTTTCTCAACACAATTGTGACATTTATAGCTTAACTTTGACACTAACTGAGGTGAGGTATGCATGTCATTTATAATGACCATACCTCCCCATTTCTCAACGAGCATTAAGGCAAGTCCTATTCTCACTAGGAAGAGGACTAACATGGGAGTGGTGGCTGCACTTCATTCACAAATGCCGGAGAAGAAAAGCTAGATGGAGCGCATGGCTAAAATGGTGGCTAAAATGCCATTTTAGCAAGTCAAGGCATGGATGCCTACGGAGACATCTAACTAAGTATGCCACAATGACTTATCAAAATATATACTTCTATATATGCATATAACCATATAAATATATATATATATATATACATACAAATGAATGTATCAATAAGGCATTGTAGTTAAACATGTAAATAAATACAGTAGCAAGGTTTATGTGTTAACTATTTTTAAAATATTAGATAATTTTTAGTGAAAATTATTCTGTTTTTGTGTTTCCTAAAAGTTCGGGAGCTTCCCTCAAGTAAATTTTATTGAACATTATTAATTTGATATAATAATATAGGATTAATTTAAATTTTAGAATAAGTGTAATAGGCGAATGGACTTTTGTTTTGGGCCTTCAAAGTGGTCGGCCCATTAAGAATCTTCAAGTTCCCACATCGGCGAAGTCAGAAATTGGCACACGAGCTTGAGGTATAAAATGGTATCTCGTGGCATCTTTTAAGGCACGGAGCCGGGCGGTGAGCACAGAGCGAACTATTCTTTCGCCTTTTACTAAAGAATACCGTGTGCACTCCGCGCGCACCGGCATACGCCTATTTTTGGAGGGGTTTCTTTTCATAAAGAAACTCCCACAACTCGGTTCAAATTTTTGGTACTAAATAAATTTAATTAATTATTTAAATGTGTCTATTTAGTTACACTCGCTGTTTAATATTTTCGTACTTTGATATCCATATTTTTTGAATTGAGGTTCACGCTAATTCTTCATGTACGACATCTTGAATAATTCTCCAAGTCCGACATGTTATTCTCATTGAAACATCTGCTTTTTGATTCTTTATTTTATTGAAATCGGGACTAAATGAGGCCTACCGAATAGTTGTTTCATCGATTTTGTCCGGATCCTCCTTTTCTTCCGAAAAAAAGGGAAGGAGAAGTATCTTTTTCGGTAGATTCCTCTTGTTTCTGTTTAGTCCTAAATATTAGACACCGAAAAAAAGGGAAGGAGAAGTATCTTTTTCGGTGGATAGGGAAGGAGAAGTATCTTTTTCGGTGGATTCCTCTTGTTTCTGTTTAGTCCTAAATATTAGACACAGGTAATAAATAAGAGAATTAGTAAGAATGGGTAACGGTATTCTGCCTAAATATTATTAGACACAGGTAATAAATAAGAGAATATTAAAGATTCGAGCCATAGAATTTCTGAATTCTTACACAAGGTACTTGCAAGTCGGCATACATGTGCCATGCCAACCAATATTCTCCTTAATAATACATTCCCTAAGAAAAACACTAAAGATGCTATTGTCCTTGATAATACATTCCCTAAGAAAAACACTAAG